GATTTAGACAAGATACTATAGAGCAGGGGTGCCCACAAGGTCGATCGCGATCTACCAGTCGATCGCTATGATATAAAGGTAGAAACTCAAGTATATATCTCTACCATTTACCACACAATCAACTTGAGGTTTACCTACAAAACTGATTTATTGCATGCACTGAACTATGGCAGGTGTCCAGATCTCTGCCATGTAATGTTGGGATTTTGAATGCTGACATCTAAGCCATTCCTAATACAAATAAGAGATTGTATCTGATGGTTTTCAGTGAATGTTCTTCACTTTCTTCCATCTATAAACCTGTTTTTTTCCACTGCTTCCCGATAATGACTTAGTTTCTGCAAACCAATTTCTTTGCTTTTCATCATGCTCACACTGAATGATTACTCTATGATAAATTCATTTAGCTGCTTCCAAGAATATATCATCACTGGGAGCAAATAATTATCCCTTGCCTGCCTCTGGACTTGCTAGTCAGCACTTGTATAATCTACAAAGCTCATTCAGCAGCAGTGTTTAGGTCTGGAAGCCAGTATAGTTGCCTACTGGAATACCTGGCCATGGAGTTTCCTCAAATTATGTTAACGCATCATCTGTAGTGATATACTGTCCCGTCTTGTGTTAAAAATTTGCTGAACAATTTGGCTGTTAACTAATATAACATTCAGATTTTTTTGTATTGTGTACATTCTTGGAGTTTTAACAATGTGGTATTAGAAATGTGTTCATGCATTCATGTTCTTGTATAATTTCATATTTAAATATAGCTACTCTATATGGTCAAATGTTTGTGGACAGGTAACCATCACATCTACGTGTGCTTTTAAAGCACCCCATTCCAAAATCATGGGTATTAAAGTAGTATTAAACTCTCAATTGTTTTTTCAATAATTAATTTTGATCAAACAATTCGGCATTGCTCAGCAATCTATTTCTTTACATTTTTGCCCAAGCACTTACAGTCACCATGTTTCCAAACAGCTGGCTCCAACTCTCTCAGCTTGGCCTCCCTGAAGAAGGAGGGAGTGATGGGGATCAGGAAGCAGGGTATACAGTTGCCTTGCTGTGCCTCTGTGTTTGTGGAGACATACACAACGTACTAACACACACAGGGGTGGCTCCATAGGACCCTGCAGAGGAAAGCAGCCACCCTAAAAAAGGATGTCCCATTTGTTCCATAGATTGCATTCTTCTTCTGTAAAGCATTCTGTACAACTTAACCTGATTTAGGTATGAGCATAGCTTACTTGTCAGCTGTAGGTCTTGCCTAAATTAGCCTGTATTGACACAGAACAAGGACAACGCCATGGAGGAAAGAAATTGTAATCCATCGACACATAAACATATTCTTGTGATGATTAATGAGCATATATTGTGGGCTGCAGCTATGAAAATTCTGCGGTGCTGCACTCACATTGTTTACAGTAAGTAGCACAATGAGTTATGCACATAAATGATAGGATTGCAAGTTAAAATTATTTTTTTTAAATTCACAAAGGAAAAGCATATGTTGTGGTACTAATTTCAACATAATGAATACACTGGCAAAATAAAATTGCTGAGCTTAAATGTTTTTTTCACTGAAAAATATATGAATATTAAAACCGATAATGAACAATGCAAAAGTGGAGGTTAGCTTCAGTGAATAATGCATGTCAGTTAAATCTATATATTCAACTTCCCACTCCCAAGCTTTTCCCACCTGAATGTGATGGATAGTGAGACTGACTTACTGAGGGGTGGTCTTGGCAGTAAGGTCAGGACCATACTTGACTTTTACAAAAAAGTTGAGATTTGCATAATAATGTAGCTTCCTCTATCTCTGGGTCTATTAATCATTGTGTTTATCACTGAAGGTTCCATCTGTTTTTTATATTCTCCCCATATGGTCATTTTGAATTGTTCAGGTTTGTGACAGGTCTTCTATATTATGGCAGTGCAGAGACACAGAACATTAGCAGTGTATGAGGACAGTCAAATTTTAGCTTTTTGTTTCAGAGCAGTTGCATATATAAGAATTAAAATTGTTTCTTGACTGGCTGCTAAAGTTATATTTTCGAGACAGCTGCCATATTATTTATTAAATAAAACAAATATAATAGTGTCCATCAGTTTATTTAAATTATTAGATTTGTTCAATTTAGAAAATACCATATAAAACGACTAAACTGTGGAATGTAGTATACTTCCTTGTGTCATTTCTTTATTTTTTAGTTTGATCTATTGTAGCTTCAAGCATTTGTCTATTTGCCATTGACACTTAAGGTAAAAGTTATAACTACTGTTAAGTAGTTTAAAATCTTCTTCAATACTTGCCTGAGGCTCAAATATAATAATAATGCACTGGCAGAAGGAATTTTGAGAAAGTCACAGGACTGGAATGTTAGTTTGTATAATCCAAAATCACAGCTGGAAGGGTTGTGCGCTGGCTTTGTGACCACTGTTAAACATCATCATTGGAGATATTCATTAAAGGTTGATAATGTTGTTATAACACAAAGACCACTAATTCAAAACAGTGGGAGATTGAACATAGCAGGGTAGGAATCAATGCACTTTTTTTTATACTTCCCTCCTCCTGCTGGAAGATACTGACTGTGCCATATCTCAGCAAGGAGTTTATAGAGGCACATGTTTTCATGGTACACTTGGTAAAATGTTGTCATAAAATGTTTGATGTTAATATTATCGTATGTACATACAAGCTTCTGAGAATAGCTTTCTATTGCTCTTATATCGTTTATTCATAACCATTTATGCACATATTTAAAAAGTGCTGCACCCTGTGTCCTTAAGTCCAAGCCATCACTCCTGTGTGTGAGCCCAGGGAGCATCCTGAAGCTACATAGTTTTCACTGATTGGACTGTAAAATGAATCATGAAAGAAGAACTATTGTGTAGCACAGCAGATTCGGAACCAGAGCCTGAGTACAGGTGAAACTCGAATAATTAGAATATCGTGCAAAAGTAATTGCAGTAAGTGCTGCAAAAGGGGCCCAAACCAAGTACTGAGTACATATGCATGCTTGTACTTTTCAGAGGTCCGATATTGTTCTATGTACAATCCTTGTTTTATTGATTGCATGTAATAATCTACTTTTTTGAGGTTGTGGATTTGGGGTTCTTGGGGTTTTCATGAGCTGTAAGCCATAATCATCACAATTATGACAAATCACGGCTTGAATTATCTTGCTTTGCATGTAATGAGTCTATCTCATATATTAGTTTCACCTTTTAAGTTGCATTAGTGAAATAAATGAACTTTGCACGATATTCTAATTATTCGAGTTTCACCTGTATGTAATAAACAAATATGGCTGCCTCCAAGTATACACTGATCAGCCAAAACATTATGACCACTGACAGGTGAAGTGAATAACATTATCCCATTACAATGGCACCTGGAAGTGGGTGGGATATATTAGGCAGCAAGTGAACATTTTGTCCCTTATGTTGATGTGTTGCAAGCATAAAAAATAGGCGAGCACAAAGATTTGAGCCGCCAAATTGTGATGGCTAAACGAACTCCAAAACGGCAGCTCTTTTAGGATGTTTCCAGTCTGCAGTGATCAGGACCTACCAAAAGTGGTCCAAGAAAGGAAAAATGGTGAACCGGCGACAGGGTCATGGGTAGTCAAGGCTCATTGATGCAGATGGGGAGCAGAGGACGCCCCACCTCACAACTTACAGGACTTAAATGATCTGCCACTGACAGCTTGGTGCCAGATACCACAGCATACCTTTAGAGTCTATGGGGCACAGCATAGTGGAGTCTATGGGGGTGATTTACTAACCTAAAACACACACACGCACCAGGTGCGTGTGCATTTCTACACAGCAAAACATATTTATCAACCAAACACGAGCAACGTGTCACATTTTCACGCCGTTATGGCGCGTTTTTATGTATTTACATACGTGCGCGTCATGTAGCATGCTCCATAGGCTACACGCCGCTCTAATAGCGGCATGCAAGTCTCTAAAAGCATATTTCCACTAATGCCATATATGGAAAAATCATGCACATGATGCATATATAATGCTGCTTCACAGTTTAGACAAAAATCTTTAGCTCATGCATTTACATTCCTGCATTCATCAACGCAAGCAACACAACGTAGCTCTAATTTACACAACATCACCTTGCAGGGCTTTGCAGGGCTATGCACAACACACCTGCTGGGTGTGTACACACTACAAAGGTGTCTAGATTCCACCAATAGATCATGCTGGGAGGGAACACACTACAGAGGTGTATACTTGTTCGTGGCGTGTTTATAAGGTTAGTAAATCAACCCCCTATGCCTCAATGACTATAAATTTCCTTTTTAAAATCCAGCAGAGAGAGTGGGATCCCGCTGTAGCTCTAGATTTAGGTGTGTAAACTTGGGAAATCATAGACCAAACAAATATTAGGTGATTTAAAAGGTGACTAAATATTTAAATAGCTTAATCCCAATGGACCAACCTCCCCATGCTAAGTACTGTATATCCCTTTGTACTTACCTTAGATTAACTGACTAGGCTTCCATTCCACATCTTATTCAGTGGGGCAGGCAGTACTGTACATAAGCTTCCTATTCTCTGCGATTCTTTTATAGGTCCTGAAGGAAAAGCCATCTCACTGTAGAAGAGTATAAGCTAAGATACCTTGCACCTCGTGGATGCTCTTTACATTGCCTTTATATGTCAAATATCATCAAGAAAGGATATTCAAAATGTGTATGCTTACACATCCTGTACACACATAAAAACAAACTCATGTCTTAAATTTTTGCAAACCATGGATCGTATACAGTTTATTTTTATTGGGTAAACATTGACACAAGCATATCGTTTATAGAATGTTATCCATTTAAAATGATTTTTACTCTTTTAAATGATTAGCACTTTTTATTGTTAAATGATTTGCTCATATAGTTGGAACACATCAAAATCTTCTATTATTAAATAAAATGATTGCTTTCAAAAAAGGTAATTACTTTCTTATTTGCCCACAGGTAAAGGTTATGGTGCGTATTTGCTCCACACTTGTGGGAGAGCCAACAGAGTCCAGCTCTTTCTTGAAAGCCGACCAAAGAAAGAAACAAATTACATTGTACGACCCATTGTCTTGTGGAGGACAGAATGCATTACAAAAGAGAGGAACTCAGATACCACCTAAAATGTTCGCATTTGATGCCGTATTCCCTCAAGATGCTTCACAGGTAGGCAAATGTACTGTATATCATGCTTTCCAGCAGACTCTAGAACCTGTGCACTCTAGTGGGGATAAAAGTATGTTGCTGCAGTAAAGGGACCATTTTAAAACTTGCTTTGTGTGGATTTCTATGTCCTAGTTCACATTGGTGCATTTGTACTTCCTTTTAAACAGAAATTTTGCATTCATGTAAATTTAATGGGGCCCTTAAGAAGATGTTTAGTTTGTGCAGTGATATGGCTGGTAGGTGTTTCATTTTGTATTTTTTTTTATGTATATTGTATTACCTTTTTACGTTTGATTACTAGAGCTGAAGGATTAAGCAATTTCATTCCATATAACCTTTATCCTTCTGTATCTTGTCTAGTGGGGTTAACAGTTAAGAAAATGTGCAACCCCCCTTACTGGAAGATATGAGCCTGGATCACCAGAAATTAGGGCTGTATCCCCATAACAAGAGGGTTCCTTTGTCATGTTATTACCGGTCTCAATGCCTTTCAAAGCTGGGGGTTGCTGCCAATGAGACTGTTCCAAAATGTTGTTTTCCCCTTGACCAGCTACTGATGAGCTTAGAGTTTTCCACACCACTTGTGTCTCCAAAACGAAGGCATGGTTATCTTTGGCTTGCCTTTCTGCGTTGTTGCCAGCTGCCAAGTAAATTGGAATCTAAAGGGGCACATTAAAAAGGACACAAACATTGGCTTTACACAGTTCTGTTGCTATTAGGATAGTAACTGTGTGCCTGGTTTGCCATGTTAGTATTAAGCCAATACAAATGCTTTTTTATTTTATTTTATAAAGACAGTTTTTAAAATCTGAAAAAAGGAAAACATGTGCAAATGCAGTATTTAGTGTATCAAGTCCACTGCATAAGATCAAAGGAGCAAGTCAGACAAATGACGTGGAAATTGTTATAGCAGACATGGCAAAGCCATGTTAGTTGTCTTACTGGGATTGCACTTTAATATTAGGTGCCATGTCACACAAACTGCTTTGTGCCCGCTATAGTGGGTATAGCATAACTTTTGTTGGATGAATATGGATATTCGAGTATTTACATACTCTCAACAAGCACACTTGTGAGTTTAAACAATACACTTTAAAACTGGCCTTCACCGACGTCTGCAGCTGTGGACACAGTGGAGCAATTAATCCTCAAATTGTACAGCAGAACCACTGAAGTTGGGCAAGTTCTATAATCAACTGAGCTCACCCTGCTCCGGCCTCCCACCAGTGACTTGGCTGGCTTCTGATTTCTAGTGTGAACACACCACAGATGCTCTGGAAGGGTGAAGCTGGGTGGTTGAGCTGCTGAGAGAAGAACCTTAAAATAGAACTCCAAGATGCATTCAAATTTCCCTTGCAGTTGGGCTACCTACACACCATGAGGGTTTAGTGCTCGTTTTGGTCTAGGGATGTAAATAAAGAAGAAATACTCACCTGATTGTCGATCCTGTTGCACTCACCTCTTTCCCCCTCCGCTCTGGCTGTGTTATGTCCCTCGGCATCCTAACGTCTAATGGACCTGCATTAGACGTGATGACGTCACAGGTCCTTAGACAGCTGTGGCCCAGGGGAGAAGAGGCTGTGTGGTCTGGTCTGGCAGCCAGGCGGGACTGAGGATCAAGTGAGTGTTTCTTCTTTATTTTCCTCCCTAGACCAAAACAAGCAGTTAACCCCTGCAGTGTGGGGGTAGCTCCACTGCAAGCGTTTATTTGAATTCCTCCTAGAGTTCTTTTTTAGTGACACCAGTGTTTCTGCTGTGAGCATTGGAGATTTATTGCTTTACCATGTCTACAGCTACAGAGGTCAGTGGGAGCTTGTTTTAAAGCTCATTTACCACTCAAATAGAACATGTAAATACTTGAATGTCCGTACCTTGTCCTTAGATTCACTTTAAAGGAAACCTGTAATGAAATAAGTAAGTAGGTTGTCATTGGTGACTCGTATACTAAGAAGGAATTTCATTTGGCACATGGTTAATTCAGCTCAGAATCCCATACTAAAGCCAGCTAGCATTTATTTGAAGGAGGCCAACAATGGCATGTCTTGTAACAGTTCCTTTTTAGGGCCTAGTCAGACCTATGCATCACTATCATACATTATGTATACATAACAGGGTCACTTGTAAATAAATGGATACCTATAATAAAAGAGGGTCTCTATACTTAGCTTCCTGGAGGCCTGTTTTTTTTTAAACACTGCCTTTGGTGCTTGCTGGCTGCTGCAAATATTCCACACTTCCATGTATGTGGAATACCTGCTCCCCCTCCAGATGCTGTAGTTGCTCTTGCTGGCTCATACATCACTACAGGATGCAGGAGCCAGGAGGAGAAAGTATTGCACGTTGTAGAGGAAACAGGAATGCGACTCATCCAGCCTGCAGTGGTCGGTCAGCACCGAAGAGGCTGTATTTCAACAAATGGCCTGCAAAAAAATGTAATTGTAACTTTTATTATTATATTTTTAGTTAAAGGCATCTAAATCTTGACACGTGGCCCTGTGCTGAAAGGGTTACTTTACAGGAAGGGGGTCTAAACACCTGGTCTTCAAGTGGTTAAAGCACCGCCAGACTGGATAGATCTGAACTGGCTAGTTCTTGAAGTCACATATTTGCTGATCAGTGTTCTTTAATTCCTGTCCAAGCAGCTGCCACTACATCTATATTGAATGTAGCAATGTACAATACAACAGGCTTGTAACAGCTGCTAATGCAAAATCAGTACAGCGGTTACCTGCATTTCCTGCAAAGCTGATAATATTTTAAACATGCTCTTTACCTTCCTTTAAAATGAAAGCTGCTGCTCTTTAAATTACAGCTCATTTATTTGCAATTTAAGTTCATACCATCGAACATGAAAAAATTCCATATATTTCATACAGCCTATTAATATGAGGTGATAGTATGCAATGCCACTACAGTGCTAGATAGAATTTGCTGCCACCAAAGATGACTAGTAATAGAGCTGATTATCTCTGGGCAGAAATTCATGAATTGTAATGGAGCAACCTCAGCATTCCATGTGCAGAAAGTGTCATTGATGTGCTTCTGTGGTGATTGTATCATGAACACAAGTCTGAGGGGAAAAGGCAGACGCTGCAGATTTTTTTCCTTTCACTTCAGCAGGCTTGTGTAAAGAGGAGCATTGAAGCGAATTCTCCCTCTGCTGGTTGCTCTCCTCTTCTTGCTTGGATGGTGCTTTTCTATTCACCATTTCCTTTTAAGGGTATTGAATACATGCAGTTCCACTTAGAGGGAAGGTGCACATAGAAGGGTAGCATGTGGTTTTATTCTACCATTATACTGGTTTATTTTATTTGTTATTATGTGAGGTGTGAAATACATTATACAGTAGTGCAAAAACAAATATGCACACATACAAGTATATTAATAAAGTACAGTCTCTAAAGGTGCTTGAAATCTGTACCAGGTGATTTTTCTTATTTACATGCTAATAACATTTTTAAAAAGCTGCTTGAAGGTTCCTTGAGAACCTTTAAGTGTGAATATAAGTAGATGTACATTTTTTTTATTTTGAAAGCATAATGTCTGTCAGCACGACTACAGGAAAACACATTGCAAATATATTTTTTATGTTTTGTAAGCAGTTGTTATGTGACCACTATTTTCTCCTTCCTCTTCAAGCTCCTTGCTGCAGGGGTAAACACTGCCCTTTTGAATGTGCAGCCTCTTGTGACAGCAGCTCCTGGGAGTCGCTGTCAATCGAGCAGGACTAGGCTGAATGGGGGTGTCCCAGCCTGTGACATCAAACCCAGCCATGCCCCCATACAGCCCTGCCCTGCTTGATTGACAGTGGCTCCTGTGATGACCAACAAGCACAGAGAGAGAGGCGAATCACACAGAACCTGATGTGCGGGGTGTATATTGAGGAATTCCAATACTCAGCAAGGGGGAGCAAGCTATAGGTGGGGTACAGACAGAGCGACTCAACACAGAATATGGGGTAGCAACGATGAAGTCCAGGGTCACAGGGCACTCTAGCCAAAACAAAGGGTCAGCAGAAAGGGCACCGAGCAACAATTAACAGGCAACAATACATAGAGCAGCAGTTCATACAGCAGTCACGGCCCAGCAAGGGACAAAATACAAATATTAAGCAACTCACACTGTAGGCATCAGAAAGTCCGGGGCAGCTGGTTGGCCTGAAATGGGGGAGGGAGATCCAGGGCCGGATTTCCCACAAGGCCAACCGAGGCCCGGCCTCGAGCAGCAGGGAGTAGAGGGGCAGCAGGCGTGTGGAATTCCTATCTCCCGACGGCCGGGACATGCAGTTCCGGGTGTCGGGCAGGTAGTTTTCTACATTTAGCTCTGCTTTGGGCAAGCAGGGCTAAATGTACAGCAGGGATGCCGCCACTTGTTTTGTACAAGTGATCTTTTTTTTAAATAAATTCTTTATTTATGTTATTTTTTTTTTAAAAACATACAACATATAACATAAAAAGAAACTTTTACAGATCATTATCTTTACACAAATAAGGTAAGATGTAAACGGTCCAACCCTGTAAGTCTATGATTGAGCTGCATGAATCAAGACAAGGGCACTAACAAATTAAACCAAAAAAAAAACCAAACAGGACAAAACAAAATAATAATTACACGTATGCATATACATATATACCTACACAGACCCACAATATAAGCCTCTTTTTCCCCCCATAGTCACTATCCCGAGTCTCATCGTATTATGATATATTCAGCTGAATTTATAAACTCCCTCCAAGGAAGCCAAGTTTTCCGGAAACTATCGGAGGTGTTTTTAATAGAGCTCGTAAGATATTCCATAATGTACATTTCCTGAATACAATCTAACCATTGACATATATTAGGTGATTCCGGTCTCTTCCACAAGGCTGGAATACAGGCGCGTGCGGCATTAACTAAATGCCTCACAACTGAGCGTTTATAAGCTTTAATTGATATAGAATTGTGTTGTGTTGTGGAGTAAAAAGAAGGCTGGGTCTCTTGGGATTGGAAGATCAGAGAAT